GGGGAACTTCGGGAGTGGCGTCCTCGGAGTTCTGGTGTCTCACCTTGGATCTGTTTCTTGCTTGCCCTCCCACTAGGATGAAGTGATCAAAGTCCGAACGGATACCAAATTAGACTTCAGCCTCGAAAAGAGCAGAGTGAAAGAACTGGTATGTTGCTGTGTTGCAGATGGAAAGCAGGGTATGGACCCGTTGCAGTTCAGAATGCCGTGCTTCAAGTCTGAGTGTCTGTGCGGTTAGATGGGCGTCTCTTTTCTCAGACGCAAGTCCTGATTTACAGCTTCCCGGTTTTGTAAAAACGTAAACTGATCATCTCAAACTTTATTAATAACAGTGGGAGATATTATTATATAATTGTCATGCAGTCAGCGAATAGTTAACAAGTTGATAAAGATGAGTTATTTGGCCTTTCTGTTCCATTGGTTCATAAAGCTGTAATACTAAGGTAACTGTGGTGATATTTACTCTGTTTCAAGTGTGGGTTTGGGGTGCTGCATAGATGTTATTTCAAAAATCATGGCCACGTCCCAAAGTAGGCTTTTTCTCTTAAAGATCAATGTTGAGTTTGTGAAGGCTGAAGTTTGATGGTGGCCAGAAAAACTAGCTCTACCCTGCCCTCTGGTGGTGATCAGATCTGTAGCACTCTCCTCTCCAGACATTGTCCTTTGCTTTGTGCTTAGTCCATAGTTTGGGATTGTTGTCTTTTTCCTATCCTGCTTCTAAGCAATGCTGGTTTTATATTCTCCACCCAGTAGTCCCAGGGGGACACTTTATAGCTTGAAAGATTCTAGATAACTTCAAAACATCGCTTTTCCCCACCTATAGCAATGTTAATTTAAGTCATAAAAGTTTTCACTAAAATTACAGTCATTTGTTCGATTAAATCCTGATAAGAAGCAGTTGGTTTTAATTTATCTGGTTTTAATCCAAGGGATATGTGTCTAATTTTAATCTCAGTGTCAACAAATCTGTGCAGTGGCCCATTTCTATATCAACATCACTGTTGTTTATTCAGTTACAGCCGCGTGTGGTGTAGGGCATTTGGGGAGAGGGTATTTTTATATTATATTTTGCAATCATTGCACAATGACT